CATCTAAACTTTACAACCTGTCAATTGTTTTGCTAAATATATTTCAGGTTTTCTCATGTAGAAAACCCTGGAGGCCTTTTTGCATGTTCCCCTATAATGTTTAAAACTAATAAAATGTAGTAATAGTGAAGATATATCTGTCTGTCATTTTGTTTCGGCTTGTAAAGTTCCACTTTTGTCAAATCAAACCTAAATCTAAATTAAAAATTAGAGTTGAAACTTCTGTGTGTGTCTGTTTGTGAGTGAATGAGCACTGGTTGGTTACATCTGACACTGTGATTTTTTTTTTTTTTACTAATGGAAATGATGAATGGCTGCCTTCGATCTCCCAGCTGTTGAGCCCGCTTGTCCGAGCCCCCCATGGCTTTGTCAGCAGAAACAAATGATCTATCAGCACACGCAGTTCAGAAGCCTCGTCAGAGGTGAGAATGATGGATCGGACCTAAGGTGAGTCTCGTCTCGGTTATTGATAGGCAGCAGCATGAAATATTAATAGATGAGAGCTAAACGCTAAGGTGACAGAGGGTGAGAAGGAGAAGGACAAAAAATACTAGACATGGGTTTTTACGATGTAAAAACAAGTGTGCGTTGCCACGTAGCATGTCATTGCCTGCAGCATTGGACTTGCAGAATGAACTTTGACCAAATTCAAACGTGTTTTCTACACCAGCTTGTGACTGTCACATCAGCAGCTGTTTAGAATTAAGGTAATTGTGTGACAATATGAAGTTCGAAAAGTTTTTTCTTAAAACTGCGTTAGTCAGGTTTTGAACCCTGACCTCCCACATGAAAGTCCATGACATAGACCAGTAGACCAGTGGAGCTGTGGCAGAAGGTGGTAGCAGGGATTGTTTTGTATGTGTGCAGAAAGAGGCCACATTGCCAATACAATTATTGACACAAAAATGCATAATATTACAACAATCGAGCAATATTAAGACAATATTATAGTAAAACACCAAAATACAATCCTATCAGTACAGTAAACACTGAACTACTGAGTTGAAATATGAAACTATGGTGCAGTACCAAGTTGAGTACAACATGGGGCAGTATTGGACCATTACAAGGCTACATTGACTGCCATTATATTTCATTAAACATTAATATTTCATAAACTATAAGCTTTACAGGCACCAAAATGCATAGCCATCTTTTGGCACAGGGACTGTACAGATATAAATTACAATGGCAGCTCTCGGACAAAGTATGCAGGAGGAGAAGCATGGCAAAGTTGAGATGACTTGGATGGGAAACGAATCACAATAGTGTGCATTGCATTGGCAATGCACACTGATAAGAGATGTTTGATGGAAGAGGTCAAACCTGATGCTTGAGTGTATGAATGAGAATCTCAAATAAATCAGTATCAAATGGTTTCTGCCCAAAATGGAAATTCCCACAGTCTTACATAAATTAGCCCCCCCCTGCCCACCCCCACCACCTCGCTCACACACCTTTAGGTCTCTCCCTCTATCTCCTTCTGTCACTCCAGCCCACATCCTGTTGTGCTTCTTCTCTCCTTTGATACCTGAGAACCACTGACTTCTGCACACACACAAGGTTCACCTTTGTCTTTGCCACACTGCACGAGTGTTCGTCATTGAAGGGAATTTATCATCAATAAATGGAAGTCTGAATAATATAGCAGAAAACCAGTTGAATCTCTTCTAAAAATTGCATTCTTGTCTCTGACTCCAATCAGCTCCAGCAGCACAGCAGTCAGTCAGTCAGCAGGCCTCAGAGTTGCTAAACAAATAACAAACTCTCAAATCTAAGGAGAGACTGCACACAAGAACTAACAAAAAATACCTCTGTCCACGTCTCTTCCTAGTTACACCCCTGGAGGTGTTCCCTTTTACGTCAGACATTAGAACATAACCAACTTTATGCAGACACATCGATAGGACACATCAACTCTCACTCTCTGTTTTAAATCATTTTGGCTGCAATGATCAGAATGTCTAAAAACACAATACTGGATCAAACATTTAGTTAGTCAGTTACAAACTTTCCTCCATCATCCTTTTTGTAAATCGGTGCATGTTTGACCCCCATAAATGCACACTCAACCCTTTACCAAGAACTTATCCTCAGTAATTCCCTTTAAACAGCAGAGCTTTCAAATCTCCCTCAGCTTAGATTAGATGCAGAGAGGGCCAGTTGTATCTACGTGTGTGTGTGTGACAGTGTGTGTGTTGGTATTGAAGTAGCACTGCAGAACAATCAATACTAATGATTTCCTATAGACACCTCAAGTTGAGCAGGGAGGATGGGAAGAAGTCAAGTGAGACAAATGAAGAAATGAGAGAAAACTGTGCATAATTTACCATGAATAAATGACCAATTAATGCCTCAACGATTAATTAGAGATAACTCGTTTCTCCTTTGCAAGAAAGCCAAATCAGTCACAAAATGCTAATTCTCACATTGCAGTATTTTAAAGTAAGTAAAATGCAAAAATGTAAAAAACGTTTGAGTCATGATTAAAATGTTTTCAGGTAAAAACAAACCAGCAGCCAAGAGTCTTAAGTTTCCTGACCTGAACTGAACAAAAAGGATTTGTTAAATTTTAAACAAGCAGAACAAAAGTTTAAAAAACAGAACAAAAAGCCAAACAGTCAGAACAATGAAAAGCTTAAACGAGCAGAACAGTAGCTATATGCTGAAATGAGCAAGACAATAGCTAAAAGCTAACACGAGCGGAACAGCAGTTCAAGCCTAAACTGCAAAACTGTAGCTAAAAGGTAAACTGTGCAAAACAGCAGCAAAAAGGTAAAACAAGCAGAGCAGTAGCTATGTGCTAAAACAAGCAAAAACAACTACATGCTAAAACGTTTAAAACAATAAACACTAAAACATGCAGAACAATAGCCATATGCTAAAATGATCAAAACTGCTATTAGGCAGTAAATAAAGCAAAACCACAATTAAAATCTGAAATAAACGAATAAATAAAAAGGTAATAAT